TTTTTATTTTTTTTGTGGGAATATATATGTGTTTGTTTTTCGCCCCCCGTCTTGCTGCACCCCCTGGGGTGTGGTGCAGGGCGGGGGATGCCTGGTCGGCGGGAACCCGGCACGGAACCCTCCGGCGTTGTGGGAAGCGTTCCCCGTTCTCCTTTTATTTTATTTTGATCGGTCTCCTCGACGCTCTTTCTCGTTTGGTGCGGTAGCTGGTCTTTCTTTCTATCATTTTGTTTCTCTTCCGAGTGGTTTTTGTACCCTATTTTTTTCTGTTTCTTCGTGGGGTCGTGTATGCCGGGTTTTGAGACCACGGGCTCCCAATCTTTCTTTTTTAGAGCTAATGTGAGACAACAACAACTCCACCCACGATCCTTCTAAACAGCTTTTTTTTTGCAAAACAACAAAACAAAAAGCGTACCCCTAACGGGCCACACTTTTCACAAAAAAAAAACTATTACAAAAAAAAAAACAACCGTGTTTCGACGCCATCCAAGAACAAATGTCGTGGGAACATCCAGGCTGCATGTAGGCGACACGTTATGGACCAAGAATATCAAGTTTCACGCGTTCGCGGGGTGGGAGGAACGACCCCCTTACAGACGCCAACGTCCACTTGCTTTTTGGGGGCCATCAAACAGAGGAGCAGGTCGTACACAGCACTTGTGGATATGCAGAGTCCTTTCACCAGGAAAGCGTTTCTACTAAATAAATGTATCACATGCATACGCATGTATTCAAGTGATGTCCCCCAACAAGGCAAGCTGCACACCATGCATATTTAGCAGCTCGCGCGGAAGCTGCCAGCCGGGACAAACACAGCAACCCACAACAGAGTACATGTTCTAGAACTCCACCACAAAGTCAGACCGAACGCTGGCGGTTGAGAATGGGAATCCACCATTTTCGTTCAAAATATTCCATGCAATACAGGAGTAGCCACGCTAGCTCTCACGAACACCTTAAGAACGAAGAAACTTATAATCAGAAGAAAAATGATCGCTCAAGGGAGGCTTACACGATAACAGCAAAGCAATGTGCTGCTCCTTCGGGGGGTACTGCAGTATGTACCATCGGTAACGGCCTCACGCAATACCACCGATTACAAACTACCACTCCCAATACCCTGTCAGTACGCCGGACCAATCTGTCTTCTTGCTAATGCAAGGTTGATACGATCGTTACATCGTTCGAGTCGCGGCCAGTTACGGAGGGCTGCCTTGGTACTGTAGTACGTGCGTACGGGTGGCCACCAACCACTACCCAGCCAAGGCAAGTCGATGACATACAAAACACACGAACCCGGCGAAGAAAGGAAGAACGCCAAAAAGAAAGAGGGGGGTTGGGGGGGGCTGGCGCGTATGGCGCTGTGTGCGCTCCGACAAGAGCACGCACGGCATGACGCGCTTTTGGGCTTCTTCAGAGCATGTCATCGAACGCTTCTTCGCTGGTCATCTAGCACGTTAAGCGGGTCGGGCGATGAGCACGGGCAACGGGGGATGGATGCGGAGGGGCACAGAGACACGTCGGCGCTTAAGATATCGCAGGAAAGTTGTTCGATGCTGCAAGCAAGAAACCGCACACCCGAGGTGGAAACTGCAAGGAAAGAGTCGGGGAAATAACCCTAGCATTCGCCGTGGATCACACACATACCCCGCCGCACACGGACGAAACGTTGGAAACATCGCAGGATGAGTCACCCTGGATCCTTACCTGAATGAGAGTGAGCTGCTTCGCCTCCGCGGGTATCTTGAACTGGCACGCCCTAACCAAGTTGTCCACAATACCCTGGGGCATCAGAGGAACTTCCGGTTCGATCAGCGTCGGTGCGACTGTAAGAGCGACATCAAATAAAAGCTATATGTAGATCACATTCCTGTGTCATGGTCTTTCTGGTATGGCCCACTTACATCGAATGAGGAAGAGGACATGACAACATCAAGTACTTCTGTCCATGTACAAGCCATAGAGATGAAACCAGCGATAGAATAGCGAGCCCGTCTCGCACCAAACTCAGAGTCTAGGTACATGCGGATGGACTCTGGACGTCGGGCCATGGGGTATGTACTACAGAGAGTAGTCTCACCAGTTCGGCGGCTTCGACGACCTCAACCTCGCAGTTGTAGCACCCCCCATCTCGGCAGAACGGGGCTTTGCTGTCTTCAGGCATGCCCGAGCACCTGGGCCGGGAGAGGAGAAATGGGCAGATGTCACGCGGACGCCGCTATCCGACACGATGGCGGGCATCGACAGGCGGTCCGAACCTTGATCAGAGGTGAACGGGCCCCAATTGTGTTCCAAAATGAAAGGGAAACCATGTTCCGTAAGCCCTCAGGAAACACAAGAGGGTGTTATGCACTGCTGTTGCTTGCCCATTGCATACGAAGCTCTCCCGCTGATGACATACTATGCTGAGCTCCCTCCTAACGATCTGGCCCGTTGTCTGCTTGCTGCACCGGAAAAAGAGAGGAAGAGGGAAGTAACCGCCGAAACAAAGCCACGGAGCCCGGCGTACACCCCGTGGCAGGAGTACAGCTGGAGCAGTGTCTTCGTTGCTGATGCGTTGTGAACTACGGCGTGGACCTGTACCTTGAAGCAACGTCAAGTGCCACCTCGCCTGGTTTACACGTCACCTGGTGATGGAGAGGAAGGAGGAAGGGGGGGGTGCTATTTGTCAAGGCAATGTCACAACGTTCACCGGCAGAGAGAGAGAGAGAGAGAGAGAGAGGGGGGGGGGGGG